TTGTCATTTGTCTTTCATGAACTGTGTAACTATTAAGAAAGCAGTCTTCTGGGATTTGGCACCGTGTATATGTGGTGTTGATGGGGGCGATACGTTCCTCCGAAACGTCGGTTAACACCACATATACACGGTGCCAAATCCCAGAAGACTGCTTTCTTAATAGTTACACAGTTCATGAAAGACAAATGACAAATGGACAAACACATCTATGTTTATGCAGAAGCATGCCTGTGCATAAGCTTGCCCATGCACCTGCATTCGCACACATATGGTGATCAGGGGATAATTTGGAGCAGAAAATGTTACTAAACAGTCGCCTGTTTCCCAACTGTTTTAGAGCTGTGGTGCCTTAGGTTTGTAGCTTTGATTAATCCTTATGTTCATATAGTGGAGCCTTCATAATGTCACAAGATGAAGCTCTACTGTATTCACTTTTGGATAAGTTGCTTGTAAGAGCAAAGCAGTGATAACAGCTTATTACTTCAGATTATGTGATACGCATTTCATGGAAGGCTTTTGTGATGTAAGTGCTAGAGCTGCACTGAGGGGATACCATAATCGGTATGCAGATTGGAGATAAGCAAACTGGAATTAGCATGATGGTGCCACTCCCCATTTTTCATCCAAATGCATAATTGACTGAACAACCATTCTCCAGACACATGGACCTGCTGCAGAGCTCGAATTGTCTGTCCTCCACAATCTTCTGCTATGTACCTACTCTTTTTCTTATGAGGATATAATAAAGATAATGTATATGCTAAGAAAGAACAACACTGTGACAACCTGATCAACTGCATCCTGGTAGCTCCAATAGACAACAGGGGCAAGCCTAGACAACTTGTTCATGTCAGAGACTTTGCTGAAGAATGCTGTGAACTGTGCATGCACAGTCGAAAGGAGTAGCTTTGAACAATTCTTTTCTGAAGAAGTCTGTAGAACTGTGTGCAAGTCTCCACTACATGATGAGACATTTGTGTTAAACATAAGTCTCAAACACGAAAGAATACATACATACATACATACATACATACATCAGCGTTTCAGAGTATTCATAAGTGTGCAACTGGCACTGAATATAAAACTTGTCAAACAACGATCACAAGACAATCACAGATAAAATCACAGAGATATCAATTAGACCATAGGTAAAATCTAAACTGAATACCTCAATTAAATAGATACAATTATACCAACACGATAATTAGCAATACATAATAATTCTCCTTCTTTGCATGCATGCAATGAAGAACTATAGTTGTCACATATTTAGATATGAATTGCACAGTAATATAATGAAATATACCTAAATAAACATATTTCTGTTTATAAATCCTTACAATAAAGCAAAAATTCATCAACTGAATAAAACGAATTATTGATTAATATTTCTTTTAGTTTTCTTATGAAAAGTTTCCTGACTCGTATCAAATCTCTTACATAGAGAAGCAAACTGTTGAAAATTTTAACACACATATAATAAACTCCTTTTTGCCTTACTGCTAAATGTGACCTTTGGTTTTTGTTCATGTAAATTAAATGTAATAAGCAGAATGTCAAATGTAAATGACCACGTATATACATAAATTTCTAGTTATTTAATTTGTTTAGAAAGTGGCAAAACATCATAAATTGATGAGGGTGATAAATCAAGCAACAAATTATTTACGTTTTCTGCTCCAAACTACCACCAACATAATCTTGTAAAGTAAATGATAGAGAGAGTAAGGTTGGGCATGGATACTATGGTGCTGTCATACAAGTACACCTGACATGGTGTTTGAAGATGTTACACATTCAGTTGAAATACTCCAATTCTTCAAATAATGTACATCTGCAGCCCAGCTAAGAAGCAATTCACATCTATATTTAACATTCATCAGATTGGAATATTTTTCTACTGACATCTACAAAGATGTGTTGGATCATTCTAAGACATGACCTGGAGAAGCAAGACGATCAGTGTTGCACAGTTACCTGTAAAGTGACCGTGTTGTGTGACTCCTTATCTCCGTCTTTCAGTTCCTGTTCTTTCCTCTTTTTGAAACGTCTAAAGTAATCTTGAATCAGGAACGTTGCATAGAACTTGCCAACTGTTACTTCATCTTCCACTACAAAGAAAATAAAAGATTGTGAACTGTGAAAAAGTTAAACAGTTCCATGTGACTGGTTAAGATTTTCTTATTTCAGTTATTCATGCCCTTACATGTTTCGGCCTTCAGAGGGACACCTTTACATCAATACAGTTAGAAGTCACCATTACAGTACATGTTCTAAAAGCCAAGTTTAAACAAAATGATATTAAATGCTGCCCTAGCGCTGTTATTTTACGTTTGCGGACATGGGTTCCTATTTCAAAGTTGTTCTATAGGGAACACTCAGTATGCTCCTGAAGTATGGCACCAAACACTTGGGACATCCTGTATAGTCATCTGAGGATGGAAATATATGGCAAAAACATGTAATATATATATAAAACATAGATTAAATAGTGTTTAGGATATAATATATAAAATGTCATATTTAAAAGACTGTTTACATATATATACAGGGTGTCCCAAGAGGAATGGACCAAACTTCGGGAGGGTGTTCCTTATGTTAAAGTATGCCGATATAACCCAAAACACCTATGTCCAAAGTTGAACGGTTACGGAGATAATGGCCAGAGAAGTGTCAAACTTTGACCGGTGTTACACACTTGTTGATTATAAAATACATATTAAAACTGGCAGGAATATGTGGATTCTGTAATGTTAATAATGTACGTAACATCAAACTAACTTGTGAGTGACGGAAAGCCATAAAATTGAAGTACGAAATACTCGCTCGCCATGTCATAATTGTCCTTAGGTTTCCAAGCACTATACATGACACATGACTGGCGAGCGATGACGTAATATGGCTGCGCTATAACCCGACCACATAACTGTAAACGTACATTCACAGGAAATCTCTTTTGGAATTTCGTTTCCATTATCTCATGTGGATTATTATGGAACCACGTATGCACATTTCGTAAATTATTTTACACCACCAGGGTAAAAGACGCCTCATCACTGAATAAAATGACGCTTAACAGTTCGGGATGAACTTTTTATCCAGTGGCACAAATCCATACGCTGTGCATGGTCGCCTGGTTCCAGATGTTGTACCATTTGATCATGGTAAGAATAACTCTTCATGATGTAAAGTTTGCCACACCTGAATACGTGATACGCCAATGCGAGAGGCGATTCTACGAGTGATAGACGCGGACTTCACTGAACAATATCAAGAATGTGCTCTCGTGTGTCTATCATTCGTACATCCTGCCTTTCAGAGTGCACAGAAACACTTGCAAGAGAACCAGTATCACGCAATGTCTGGTGAATTCGCGTAAATACACTTCGAGATGGAATCCTTCGATCGGGAAAACGCCTTTGGTATTCTTCAACAGCAGCACGTGCATTGCGACCGCAAAATCCACACACAAAATGCATATCACAATATTCCACGTGTGAAAACACAAGAGGCATTTCAGCAACTCATCACACAACTAATTTACCACCCATTCACGACCCCGCCGCAATGTAATGTGTAGGCTCTGGTAGGTTGCGCATGAGATCACGGCTAGTGTGACATCACCACACTCAAGTACAAACAGATAACAGTCACAGCTGACTGTCCACAGTGCGTGGACCTGCAAGAAGACCACACTTTTCTCGGGCCATTATCTCCGTAACCGTTCAACTTTGGACATAGGTGTTTTGGGTTATATCGGCATACTTTAACATAAGGAACACCCTCCCGAAGTTTGGTCCATTCCTCCTGGGACACCCTGTATATATGAAGCACTCAGTATTATCTGAATCATGAAGTTAAAGATGATCTCATGATTACATATCACCTTGTACTTGAAACCATAAGACAGTGTTTATCAATCATGAATGAGAACGGTTCTACCTCAGTGTAGCAAAGTATCTCTACCCAGGCATACAGTTCTCAAATTTTGGAAGGTGTCTTTTGTGTCCCAAACAAGGGAGAAATGCAGGCTCTGTTTTAATGGTACCTTTGTGGATCATGAACTATAAACAGTTTTCGAAGCACACCTGCAATTACAGTTCATGTATGAAGTTGCGAAGAAAGTTGTGGCTGGCTAGGAACTGTTTGTTGTGAAGGAGGTGCCAGAAAAAAAAAAAGCCCCCATTTTATGAGACTTCTCAGCATATGTAACATTAACATACTGACAATGCCTTGCTTTTTATTGTAATGAAGTTTTGTTACAAGACATACTCATTACATTACAGTTCCACTGTAGATGCAAAATGAATATATGCTGTTAAAGTGAATATATTTCTAATTACATTTTCACTGAATTGACATTTCACTATATATAAATTACATAGGCTGATATCTTCGAAGCTTGTGTGAGGACGCATACATACCTCCGGGTGGTGGTACCACTTGGTCCAGAAGTTTGGGGCTTGTCCTCTTCCATATCTTCTTAATGACTGCTCTTAGTTCTGCATTTGCATCATCAATATTTCCTTCTGTTTTGATTCTTAAAGATGTTCGAACAACAGCAAACAATGTTGCGTTGAACAGGACAGTCCCATCACTATTCAAAGGCATATTCATTGATACCAGCCTCTGCAATAAGATCATCATTTTGCTGTTAATTTAATTATTATTTGTGCTGTATCTCTCGTTTTATATTTTCAAAAACTATGAAGGATATTTCAAATGTACTGGAAGTTGGCATTATTGAGAACAGTATAAAGCAGAAAGTTCATATCCAGTTCTTCTGTGCTTTTATATTTGCTTCGTGAGAGATATCAAACATTGAATTATCCAGAAAGAGACAATGATGACCCATTTTTTTAATTCGCTTAGTGGATTGGTGGAGTCTGACTGCATCCACTCGGCACGGCGGCCACTGATTGGCCTATTGTAGCCTGCCTTGGGTGATTATGATGATGGAGAATTTGGTGGAATGAAGATTGGCAGGGGAAACCAAAGTACTTGGAGAAAACCCACACCAGCACCACTTTGTCCAACACAAATCCTACTTGACCAGACCTGTGATCGAATCCAGGCTGCTGCGGTGGGAAGCCAGCGACAAACCGCTTGAGCTATGGCACGGCCAGTGATGACCTTACCAGAAGAATACTCTCTCCTGTTATGTGACATCTTTACAATCCGGTGAACTTCTACCAGACTACATGGTGCCACATACCAGAAGATGGTAATACTAATAATTAACAGTGTGAGAACCCCAAAATTAACAACCTTTCCAACGCATCTTTCATCATCATGCAGAATTTTTATTTGATGTCACGTAAAATATGCAACTGAATAAACACACACATACGGATGCATGCATACAAAATCTAGTTCATGTAAAACTTTGACCTCACATAAATTCTCTAAATTCAGAAACTCCGAGATTAATCCCCTCTGAGAAATCCACACCCACTAGGCCAATGTTATGACAGGACAAAATATAAAGGTAATATAATACAACTTGCCTTGCAAGCAACACGATGGGGGCAAAGCTTGCCAAAACCTAGAGGTGGTGAGATTTTTCTGAGAAGTGTCACAACATCCAAATGCTTGATGCGTCCCTTAGCATCTGGATCATATTCACTCCACAATCGAATGAACTCATCCAAATGATGGGGACCCAAAATGGACCAATCTCTTGTCAAATAATCAAAGTTATCCATGATCACAGCAACAAACAGATTAATGATCTGTAAGGAACACGAACATATTATTCTTAATGAAATTCCTACCAGACATGCATTATGTTAAATATCAGTGTTACAATATTTTCTTTTATACAGCCTAATCAGCATAATTTTGAGAGCCTTTGTGACAAACGAGTAATCTCAAAACTATACACTCATAACTATAACTAACAAACATCTATAAACCAGGTTCTCTCCTTCCATCTGATGATCTTCAGGCTTTTTTGTCAATATAATAATTTGTCAAACTATCACTTCTGACAGCACATCCATAACACTCTAGCTGTGATAATGCCAAAAATGAATATTATACAAAAGGAACTGAAAGAATTAGTACGTCAAAGCTCAAACTTCAAATATTAGAATATTCCAGGACAAATGAATAAATGATGAATGAAAAATTATATTCTTTTCACATATTAACAAACACCATGACGTGAGTGCCCGTGAAACAATGTCAGTGCTACAGATGGGGAGCACATGGTTTGAATGTTATTCTGTTCTGTGCCAAGGGTTAAGATAATATCAGCACATGGCTTGCAGCATACAGCAAAACAACAGAGGACCCATACGGATATTGGTACTACTTATAAATTAAGACAATATCTTCCACAGTCAGAATCACATGTTCTCTACCAGGTTACTACTCTGCAAATTCAGCTTCAATGAAAATCTTCATAATTATCACCAAATAGATTACTGTAAATACTCAATCCTATCACACCATAGGCATCCTTGGACTTGTGTATGTGGTTGCTGCATTTCCAAGGGTGGTAACAATGCAAAATCCTAAGACCCAAAAATATTCTACTTTTTGCTGCTCCTCTGGCTTCAAATTCAATTAATGTTAATATGATACCTTTTAGCCATTTGCAAATTAATTTTCTATTATTTATTGTTTTAGTCTTCATTAAAAAGTAAATAAAAAATATAGAATTGCAATAATGAGAAGTTTCCATAAGTAGGAGACAGCTGTATTGTATTCAAGAGTTATACAGTTAATCCTGTGTTACCTTTTAGTAATAAAACCGTATGCATTAAAATATTCTTCAATTTCATTTATGTATTTGTGGTACAGCACAGAATCACTTACCAGGAATGAACACAGCACATAGAATGAGATGAAATATGGAAAAGCCATATCAGAGCCGCAAATAAGTTTGTCTGTTTCATCAGACTTGGGATCACATTTCACCTCCTCACGTGCAGAGCAGTCCAGCATAATTTCTTGCCAAGCTTCACCTAAGTATTAAAAATAGACGAAAGACATGTAGTTCATGCATTAGCATACCTGGAATAAGAAATATGATGCTATGATGTCCCTTCCAAGTTTAAGTGTGAGTAAATAAAATATTAGTACTTGGATCGATCCTCAGGTGAGGGGGCATGATACAAACAGATCCAGTTTCTGAAACATTGTATTCTCTAATGTTTTAGAATACCATACAGTGCTCAGCGCTGCGAACTCAGTAATTCCGAACAATATACACCACTGTCACAACCTTTTAAATTCTATTTAGCGTGCGACAAACTGCAAGGTGAAAAACAGTATGTTTAGAACAGCAATCTTCAACCTCTGCTTCCAACTTTATGTATCTTCAAATCCTGCCACGTCTCAACTTTAAGTAGAATTTTCGCGTGGGAGGGGGGTGTAGTCCAGCTGGGTCCACTCAGCACGGTGGCCACAGATTGGCCTGTTGTATCTACCCCGGGTGATTATTATGGAGTATTTGGTGGAATGAAGATAGGTAGGCGAAACCAAAGTATTTGGAGAAAACCTGCCCCAGCGCCACTTAACCAGGCCTGGGATCATACCCGGGCCGCCATGGTGGGAAGCCAGTGACTAACCACTTGAGCTATGGCACAGCCTACTTTATGTAGAATCTCAATTGGTTTTTGCTTACCTACTGCCCCTGTATTCAGACTGCACTGACCTTACTGGTATCTACCCATGCAGCAAAGGGTGGAAATTCATTTCTGAGGTGGAGGCACCACAGGGTGGACTCTGTTATCTCTAGTGATAGGGTGTTGATAACAGTGATGGTTGATAGGATGTACCTATAGCTTAACATAAAACTCTAAACCACTGGCAGGTTCATATTCTTCATATTCCCAAAGTAAGAGGTGAAGAATTCGGTTTATGAGCAGAGAAATCTGTATACAGACCTCATCAGGGACTGCAGAACCTACTGAATGAGAATCGCAAATCTTACTCCAAGACCATCAGGTTCCTTGTACCTTAATTATTTAAGAAGACCCTCTTATACATAAAGCCTCTGTCACATTTTCTGAAGCAGAAGCACTTCTTCCACCTCTGACACTGAGAGGGAGTCATGCACACTAATCTTTTGCTGTCCTAGTAGATCATAGTCACATTAAAAAGAGACTATCAATAATATAGCAAAACCTCATTTAAAATTTAAATACCAGAACAGACCAGACTACAGCAGTATGAACTGAAATGGGCAATAGGTACACTGTTTTATGAGTATGAACATATACTCGTAGTTACATACAGAAGAAGGTGGGCTGAGCACAGTGTTTGTGTAAACATGTGTCCACAATTTTGTTTGGATGATTACACATGATGAACATTTCCAGTTAACACATCTTACAGCTTTTCCATGTGCTTCATCTGTGAAGATAAAACCTCAGTCTTGAAGGCCTGCTTATATAACAAAATGGTCATATATTTTTTTTTAAACAAGATGGAAGCGAATTTATATATGCACAAAATCTTCCATCATCTACTGCTAAGAGACAATCTGAAAATTCCTTCTCACTTTCTGATCTCATATCTAAATTTTGTGGCATGAGGTAGAGTAGTTGAGGCACTATGCTACAAGCAGGAAGGTTGCAGGTTCAATTCTCAATGAGGTCATTGGATTTTTTATTTGACCTAGACCTCTCAGCTGTACTATGGCCCTGGGGTTGACTCAACTGCTGACAGAAATGAGTATCAGGAACCTACCCAGGGGTAAAGCGCGGTCGGTGCCTAAGGCCAACAATCTCCCTGCAATCTGTGAGCCGATGTTTAGAAAATATGTGAACCTTGATATCTCACAACCCTACTGGCCTCCAGGGCTATTTACAGGGATAGCTACTTTTTTATATCTAAATTTCAGCATGTGGAACTTGGTCCATATCCTGTCTTTCTTTATAGGAATGGCAACAGCAAGAGATATTGAGCCTTGTATTGTCACATGCAAGACTTGTTTGAAGACTTCACCTAGCAGTATAACTTCCTCTCCAAACAGCTTTTCCAATTCTGCCAAAACACGCAGCAGTCTGTGCACCACTTGAAAGGCATGAATGCGTGCCATTGGTGCTTAGTCCCATAGAATCAGTTTTAACTGAAGAAGTGCCTTCCACTGTGATTGGCTTAAAATTTTATGTTGAAGTTACATTCAATGGCAGAGATATCTTGAATGTAGAGTGAGCAGTTTTGCCTCCTAACAGAGTTGCCTGTAGACACAACAGGAGTAACAGTACCTCCCTTGCCTCAAACGATGTGTACTACATCTGAGCAAAGAAATGTTTTCCCCATTCGAGATAGACCATCAAGAAAAAAAACAGCGTTGATCTGTGTTCAAGTTACTGTAACTGTAACAGCATCAAATGCCATTTTTTATTCAGTGTTCAATTTGTCTATATTTCAAATTGTTGTTCTTCCAAAATGTGCAATGACTGCATATGCAGAGGTGGTGTAAGCTTATAGACAGCTGGTAAATGCAGTCATTGAAGGCTAAGACCACACTTTTTTAATATTTCCTTCATTTATAAGTGCATAAGCAGGGCCAGTTTCTTCATAGTAACATTTTATAACATCTTACTTATATTCTGTATGTGTCTTTCCTACAATTCTGATGCATCTTCTGGTTCCCCACATCCACATCCCATTGCAAACAGTAATTGTATATAACATGGTGTTAATGCCACTTACCAGTTGCTGAACGAAATAAAACTAACACTGCCTGAGGAAAAGTCTGGAAGTTGTTGTTGCGATGAATTGCTGTTCCTGGATTCAATGCTATTTTTCCAAACATCTAGAAGAATAAAAATATGTGTATTTATTTAATTTTTAATACCTCGATGGGGTGGTAAGGAAGAGATTGATCTGGTTCAGGATAGCGACCAGTGGAGGGCTCTTGTGAACACGGTAATGAACCTGTGGGTTCCATAAATGTTGGGAGGTTCTTGAGTAACTACACAACTTGTGACTTCTCAAGAAGGGCTCAGCTCCATGAAGATAGTTATTGATAACTCTATATATTCCACATAGCACAAGATGTTCTGAAGAATATGTAAAATTTTTAAAAATATGGCTTTTGTCACACAAGAAACACCTTCTGTAATAAAATAACAGTTGTGAAGTTGATATGACAAGAAAACATACTTCAATTCTTTTGTGATAATTAATTTCCTGTTACTTTGGCACTCCTGCTTTTATACAAGTACGTAGTATCAGGCTTGAATCCTGGATCTGAAACAGGTTACCAGTTTGCTATTGAGGTCTTCTATTGCTTTCCTCATATACTACAGGAAATTTCTGGGATAGTACATTAAAAATTTATATCTGCTTTCACAAATTTATTGTTTTTAATCAACCAAAAATGTGATGTTATTTAGCTCATACAATATTCATATGGAAAGCAATGGTTGATTACAGCAGCCAAGCAGCTTGAGGCTGCTTTTAATTGCCTGGATATTGGGTTGTGAGCTTGAATTCTTCTCAGGGTGTGGATGTTAGTCCATCTTTCTTTTTGTGCATGTTCCTGTGCAGGTAGAGACCTTGGGACTGGATGGTCCCTTGTCCAAAGAGCCTCACTAAATGCCTTTAATAATCACTGTTCAAAAGTTATTTTTGAACAGGGAGAAGCCAGAGGATCTCTCCATGAAGGCTGAGGCGGGAGAAAAGGACGGCTTGTAGGTTTATCAGTTGTTTGCGCTCGAGCATAAGAGAGAGAAAGTACATGTATACAGATTTTTTAAAAGAATTCAGTGATTTTTATGTATATTAAGGAAATGTTTTCACTTAATAATGAGCCACGATAGCACAGTTGGTATAGCGACTGGCTATGGGCTGGACAACTGACGGGTTAGATTTTGAGCCCCGGTAGGATCAATAATTTTCTCTTCCACATTGTCCAGCCCAGCTCTGGGCCCCACCCAGCCTCCTATACAATGGGTACTGGGGTGGCAGGTCTTTCTCCGTGGTTAAAGCAGCCAGGGCATGGAGCTGACCACTCACCTTCAAATAGTGTCGAGGTCAAGAAAATATGGATCTATACATCCACTCCCCCATATGCCTTCATGATGTAGTGCTTAGTTAAGCACAGGGTCAACTTTACCTTTACCTTTCACTTAATAAGTATTTCAATTGCAAAAGATCTGATGCATATTTCACAGGCTGAAGCAAACTGTAAGTGATAAAGACATGGTGGACTTTATTTACTGTTCTATAGGTATCAACAGTGTTTTTATATTCCACCAAAAGACTAAATGTAATATCTTCCGCATAACCACAGCATTTGTTACAGTTTATTTGAATATCCTAAGAGAGTAAAACAACATCTTGTGAATAGATGGCCATAAATCTGGTTTACTTATTCAGAAATAGCCACCCAAGTAGCATCATTGATGTATAAAAGATTACTACTGTCCCTTTTTCATAAAACAAAGGAACTTATTCAAAATTACTGTTTTTTTTTTTTACTTTTGTCCACTGTCTGGTATTCTAGAAATTAGTAAAACACAGTATTTCTGAAACTGGTTCTGTTTCTGTCCTCAGGTGAGGAGGGAAGACACCTACTCAGTTGGGTCACTGGTTCAGTGACTGAGGATAGCTCTTTGTAAGAGACCCACCTGAGTAGGTGTCCCCCCCCCCCCCATTTTCACCTGAGGATGGAAACAGATCCAGTTTCCAAAATGTCGTGTTTTTCTAGTTTATAGAATACTGGACAATGAACAAAGTCCCCAAACCCAGTGTCATACAGCATCATCAGAACACTTTAGAAAGGAAATCATTAGTTTAGAGCAGAAACATTAAATTCCACATATTTTAGGGTAAAGAGAATTTCTGAATCTTAATATTTACCTGCATCCCAATAACAGCATAGATGAAGAACAGCATGACAATGAGAAGAGCAACATATGGCAGTGCTTGAAACGACTTAATAAATGTCCACAGTAAAGTGCGAATGCCTTCACCTCTGCTCAAGAGTTTCACTAAACGCATAACTCGGAATAAACGGAAGAAATTGATGGATATCATACCAGACCCTGGCTGGAAAAAGATGGTACTACATATCAAAACAAGTCTTTAGTATAACTACACAAAATTTATGTAATTCATTAGAATGGGCATGACAGTATTTACTGTTACATCAACGGAAAGAGTTAGAACAGCTGCAGAAAATTCATCTTGAGTTTTCTAAAATGGAATTAGAATAAAAATTCTTGCGCCACAAAATACACAAATGTTCCAAAGCAGAATAGTTTTATGTACATCAAATACATATTTTACTTTTTACTGTCATTTTCTTATATGAAATTCGTAAATATTAGTTTCATAAATAATTATACTGATGGTCAGGACCATGTTGAATGATTAGAACAGGAAGTTACCATGAATAGACTTTGTTCATTTTCCATAATATTTACAAAGGCAGCAAGAGCAGTAGAATGTCACTATTTCACTCAAAGATTCTGGAAGTGTTGTAATTAAGTGCAAGAATGATCACTAATAGTTACATCCTGAGAAGTTTCTTTCCAAATGCTTTTGCAGTATAAAGTGGTGTTAGATATTAAAGACAATAAAATATTTAACATATTTATGTCTCAATATATTCCAGCATATTTATCCTTAATGCAGTGTAGGTTGAAAGAATATTAATAGGCATTAAGTTTACGAAATAATAACAAATAAAATTAATTTTTTGTAAGAAATTTCATATACCATGCTTTGATTCCAATATCAATTTAATAATGAAGTTATTACATCCAAAATGTTTTTTTCTTTCTTAAAATCTTTCATTTCAGTTAATCATCTAATTACACACTTTGCTGGTTCTTTAAAATACTCATTATACTTATGTGTTATTCATTTGATAACCTGACACACTGAAAACATAAGAATCAAATGGCAACTTAAAGTATCTTCATTGAAGAGCCTTCCAAATTCTTTATAAATATCATACATAGGACAAGTTTTGTTTCATGATGTAACCTATCTCCTTTCAGCCCATTCGAACTGAAACTGATCATTGTAATATAGTATAAAATTTTGAAAGCTGTATATATATATATATTCAGAGTCAAGATCCAGCATAGACTATTTTTTGCAAGGTAAATAGAGTATTTGGATTAAGACATGCTATAACTGCATACTGACTACAAAACAATATCAAACATGCCAACATCCAAGTGCATCTTCAAAGATCATTTCAATGCAATAGTTTGAGTGAAGGTGGGATACACATTCTGGTTCAAACAACATCTCAATCACCAATCATGCAATGCAAACATAACAAATAATAAAATGCACAAAATGGAACCTGGAGTTTTATGATCATTACACATCAGCTACCGTTAGTCACTTAAAAAATCTTTTGACAAACAGAAACTGTCTATGCCTTGGCATCTACCAGGGGCTATGACCAGCTGTTGGAAAGGTTAACAAGCTTTCAGTCACTATATAACATACAGTAGCATCCATGCACAATTTTGGAAACTCCGTAGCTGCTGTTTGAAAATGTAACTGTAGCCAGTGAAATATTCATCACTGTATAGGAATGTTTTATTGCTTACTGTAGATGCAGAGAGGCTGTACAGATATTCAGGTTACTGTTATCACTGTATAACGTAATAGGGACCTGCAACAACGTGCAGAACTGCACTTTTCAATGACAGGCAAAGATGAAGGGTCTTTTAAAATCACATATGATTTTAGGATGTCCCAGCACCATGAAGTCTGAGAATCCCTGATCTATACAGCATGAAGTAACCAAAAGAAACTCTGTTTCATGCAAGTAGGTGATGCTGAAGTGACGATACTATCCAAATAATATTTGTGAAATTACAATAAAGATTTTAAATTCAGCATAACAGTTAGTCATCTATTAAATTACCTCGATCATAATTCTATTCTTTGTATCATAAATCCACATCATTTGAAAATCCAACACCATTTTCATGAATTTGCATTCGTAGTTAAAAGATATTTATAAAAATAACTTTGAATGATGTAATTCAAATCTAGTTATTTTGGTACTGACCTTAAAAATATTTCCATGTATACATTTCAAAACCTAAATGCTTATACTAAAATAAATAGGATCATCCTTTAAACAGTATAATAGTCCATACTATAATAGGCATATACGAGTAAGTAGATTTCAGCAACAGTTACTGCAGTACTCTTCACATTAAGCAAAGTAGTCTGGTAGAAGATTACCAAGGTTTTGGATAACATACCCTAATCTAGCCTCTATTCTCTCTACTCTGCACTGCTTCCATCTTCAGGCAACATTAGTAAACTTCTATCAGACTACACTGTAGAAGACCAGTCTTAACATTTATGACAGGTCACAAGGTTTTACATGTAAAATCACTTCTGACAGATGTACAAGTATTAATATTTTAAGAGTTATATGTATAATTATTAAATTGTAGGGAAAAACTTCTGGTGGATTCTTAACATCAGTTCTAGTAAATTTTCGCCTGTGCAGATTTTCTTACCATCCGAGATTGTAACTGAACTAATAGTCTTAAGTTTTCCATCATGCCAGTAATAGTAGAAAACTTACAGTAACACTTGTTTGTACTTGATGAACTGTATCAAAGAAAATCCAATATGGCATATAAACAATATCAACTTATTTACAATTATTAGGCTTACACACTATTAAAGCACTTTCTGTTGTTCCTTTAATGCAATCACTACTGCTTCTAAGTGTGTTTAATATAATAAGTTGAAAAGTTTTAGCAGAATAAAATGCATAGTGTTCCAAACAATGCTTTCCCCATGCATAAGCTGACTTCAGAGTAATGAAAGTCTACTCTGTATTTCATACTAAAGATTCATGCTAAATCGATAATAAATTAAGTTTGACTTAACATCTAATATTCACCAAGCAATCTAATCTGGAACCTAACTCTCATATTACAACAAGATACATTACTCTAAACTAACAGGAAATATATTTATGGGTGATAGAGATGAAACAAGTGGAAGGTTGCTCAAATCTTGATACTCCTCATCACCTTCAGGACCAAAAGTAGATCTAGCAATTCACCAGAAAACCACCCTACCCAAAATGTCCAATTCAAGTTGTGTACCAAAGTAAAAAACTGCACATATCTGTCAATCCAGAAGAAAATGCTCTCAATCTTTCAGAACTACTTCCATCTTATTTGTATATTCTACCAAATTATACCTTAAATTCCTGGGAATACATACATAAAAGAGGTTTATATTTTCTACCATAATTCGTATCATGATTGCCACCGGGGCCGCCACTGCCACCACCAACACTGCCGTTATCATTATCACATCATCACAGTGTCAAATGATTATTATTAATATTACTGATAAACATCTACAGTGCAATACTTTCCTACATAAATAAGAAGCTCAGTAAGCAGAAACATCCTATTAGCACAGATTATAAACTGATCTCTGGAACCATTCCATGGAATATTTATTTCTGTTGAGGAGAGTTAGGTTCCAGCCTATCTCCACATGTAACACTAACATGACTTGTAACCACAAACCTTAAACCTTGTAGGGTTCTGGATTGATGAGACATGGAAGGAAACACCTTGGTTAGTTGAAGCCATAGTTTTGTTGAAGTTTTCCCTTATTTTTAACCAATTATGATTGGATGTTGCCCAACACTCTTATATTTTAAAAAGTAGCCTGTTAATGTAAAAGATGGCATTATCTAGGAGTGCAAGTAGAGGAGACTGTGCTCTTTGGTCAGTCACTCAAGTTGAAGTTTTTACAAATATAAGACAAGGGCTATCATCCAAATCAAGGCCCTCAATTATCAGTCAACTAGACTGTAATGGTTCGGTTATCGTTGCTCAGTCTTATACACTCTCAAGTTCTCTTATTATTTAAGAACTGTACACAGTGGAAATTATTCTGTAACTCCTAACTTTTTCAGGTTGACAATTCGAGGCTAATTTTATATTTATGTAGCGTAAAACTTGCATAGACCGAAAAGTGAGGATCAGAACTGATTTCCTCTCTGTGAAGTTACATTTATGTTTCTAACTAAAATAAGAAAGAATCTTGTATTTTCACATAAATTAACAGTGTACCATATGCTCATTTGATATAAAGAATGGAAGTTCCTACTGAAAAGAAAAATTGTTGAATGCACGATAAAAAAAATACACTTAAATAAGCCGTTAATCCTTGTTCTTCCATCTTATAAGATGTGAGATGTTCTGTGCATCAAAATATGTTGCGCTGATCATAGAAGAATACACAACAATTGTATGCAGCATGCATGCAACTAACAAGGTACCAGTCATTTCTCCAACACTTCTACACAGAAAAATCCATTCTATTCAGAATCATTCAAACTACATTTTATTACAACCAATTACAATATCTGAAGAAAAAAAAACAGATCTACTGGTTGCAAGGCAGGGAATTGGATATGCACTGAATAGCAGCTAGCAGGGATGTGAAGGAAAGAAGTGTGTATTAAAACAAAATAAAAATAGCATGAATATGTCTGATAACTGACCTAATTCCTGTTTGCAATGCAAACGTAAGTTGAGTGCAAGCTTTAACATTCCTTGTTCCAGAATTTATATTCATGTCCACATTAGTAACAACAGTTCAAACTTGGATAGTAAAATCAAGGTGCATAATGAGAGGTGACACCATGCTATTTAACTGAATGCATTAATAGAATTTATGCTGAATACCACCATAAACATTTAAAAATTAAAATAATAAATACATTGTATCCTTACAAGGCAAATAAGCATCACAGAGTTGTGATAAATTAACAGCTATCTATAATCAAACATAAAATCCAAAGAAAACTTCTGAGAAAAATGAAATTGATTACAATTCTTTACATGTGAGCAGGAATGAGAATTTCAATCCAAGTTGAATAAAACTGAAAGGTATTGCTGACATGCTATATCATCTCTGAAAGCGTGAGGGACTGCTGGCAAAAGTGTTTAAGAATTAAAAATTTTTAAAACAATTTAATTAGTTTAAAAATTATATGATAGAAGATATTATATATATAAAGCAATGGATATGAGATGAATAATTCTTTTCACACTAACTACAAGTGGTATACTTTTTAAAGTGAATAAAATATTTTCCAACCATGTTGATGTTTAAACCTGCAACTTCCTGCCTTCCTATGAGCTATCAGGAGATCTCATCTGGGCGCAACAAGCGCTAAACATAGGATAAACTCAACCGTGGGAAACCGCCTGGCAGATCATTATTGCAGCAGGAGGTTGTGGGTATTACTTCAAACTGAGTGACAAATTTCACACCTTATCACTTGTCATCAATGAGATCTGAGATTCTCATTGTGATGAATATCAAGTTATCTTCTTCTGGGACACAGTATCATGACATTTGGCAGAAAGGTACAACCATTTTGGGAGGGCTTCCTGCCTCCATCATTGTAAAAGAATATGTAAAAGTAAAAAAAGTAAAGCTATCCCTGTAACAGGCTAATAGATGGCGGCAAGGTTGTCTGCCCTATGCGCCAGCTGCCCTTTACCCCCAACAATATCCCAAGAATATTCCTGGTACTCATTTCTGTTAAGAGGCTGAGTCGACTCCAGGGCCATAGTGCAGCCAGAAGGATTAGGTCAATTGAAAAAAATCCAATGACCTCATCAGGACTTGAACCCGCGACCTTCTGGCTTGTAGCATACTGCCTCAACCAACTATGCTACTGCATGCCCCGGCTTTTATTATTATTATATTTTTGGGTGGAACTGAATCTCTGTATCTCCACTCCACACAAAACATATAATTTTAGGAGTAATCTAATCATTCAAGGTGTATGTCACAGACAATAAAACGTTCCATTTTCTGTGATAATCTTGGTGCAGAACTGCTGAAAGTTAATTCATGTCACATTTTGCTCTCAAAACTTATTTGACACATGTAATGCACTGTCTTCACTGAAGTCCAGTTTAATATTCAGTATTATGCCAACACAGCTAAAACTAACATTTGTTTATGGTAATTCATCCAGATATGATTGCTTCATTACTCAGTACAGTTGGTGGCTTTGTGTTCTGAACTTTGAATGTTCAATTAATATCAATTCCTCTTTGAACTTCCATGGCAAACATGAATTCCTAAATACGATCTGAGTTTCTCAAAGTGGTGGTTATGAAGAGTACTGTCTTATGGGATCTAATGCCATGTAGTCCATTCAAGTGACATTTTGGAGAAGCATATCGCCTTCGTCTTTAGGGTTGAACAAGCTGAGCAAGAAGATGGAGGTAGTATGTTCCTCCATATTGTCAGCTGACTTTCTGAGTTACACAGAATTATATCCAAAACAATGGTACTCTTCATGAAGTCCCAAGATGGAAACCTGTCATGAACTTCAATAATTTCATATCTTCCTCATAAAAGAATTTAAAAGTTCCATTCCACTAGCGTAGAAACTATAAACGAGTATTTTTTTTTTGTTTTCAATAATGAAAACTGTAGTCTACCTGAGAAAAGCCAGTTTTTATTTCTTATATAAGAAATGAGAACGAGAGAGTTAATTTCGGTTTGTTGTGGTTAGTGGAAGTAACTGTAAGCTTGGTTGTATTATCTTGCTATAGTGAAATGCATTTCTAATGAAGAATACAAAACTGAGGTCTGATGCCATCACACTGGCATGTCACATACACATTCTGAGCTTATATTTTAAAGTAATATATAATACGAGGCAGGGGAATTAGTGTCAACTGACATGGTCACCATTTTTTCACATAGTACATGATATACTTGGAGTCAGGATAGCACAGTCAGTATAGTGACTGGCTACAGGTTGGACAATCAAGGGGTCAGAGTTTGAGTCCTGGTACGGTCAAGAATTTTCTCCCTTCCATGTTGTCCAGACTGGCTCTGGGGCCGACTCAGCCTCCTATCCAATGGATACCAGGGGCTCTTTCTTTGTGGGTAAAGCGGCCATGGCGGGTAGCTGACCATTCACCTCCAACTAGCACCGAGGTCAAGAGAATGTGGATCTATACATCCACCCCCCCCCATATGTCTTCATAGCATACAGCTTAATGAGTAAAGCACAGTAATTTTCTTTTCTACATTATATACTTGAATGCAAAGATGCAACCCTCTTAAGGCTGGGAGAAACTGTCACACTCTATGCACAGTTGAGTGAGAAATGTGCCATTCTTCACACTTTTCTAATTTTCTTTCTGTTTTATTTTTTTTTTTTTGAATTAATATTAATATAAGCATACACCAATGTTACTGAAAGAATGTTCTCTAGTCACCAGACAGAATGATGGTGTGCCTCTATATCACAGTTATTGTATTTGGAATTCAATGAAGATTAATGGTACAGGTTCATGAATCAAATGAGGCTGACCAGCATCATGGCCTCCCTAAAATTAAACTAAAATTAAACAGAGAACGATGCTAAATATGTGTATTTACTCAGCTACTTTTGTTTATATTTTAATGTAAGAGTGGCTACTGATCTGGAATATTAAAAAAGTTATATGTGTATGAATGTAAGCTGTTTGCTCACAAAGCAAATACTGTATAATACTGCAACCACAGAAAAAAAAAAGCTTCTTATGTCTTTCTTATGTATTTCTTATGTCACTAGCATCAAATTTAAAACTTTTCTGCCAATGCATAACATCAACACATTATCATCTTTTAAAACGTTTTTTTTTATCACTTTTAACAAAGGAAGCGATCCTCAAAGTTTCTGTTGTTAGTCGACAGACACTTTATCTATATCTTACTATGTTAGTGAGTATAAGACAGTGTTTAGTAGCCATAATTTGAAGTCCATGCTGTAGTTAATCGCAATTAAGCTGAGTGCTAGCTTGTGTAGCATGCTAGAAGATACAATCCTAACCCACACAGAAAACCACACATCCAAAGGTTACACGTTAAACTTTTATCAGTTACATACAGATGTCTTCCCTTACTGTCATGTTTATGTCTCTTCCACAAAAGTTTGAAATACTGAAAAGTTAATGTAACTTCAGTTGTAACAATATGATAAATGGGAACTTGTATCTCAGTGAAATGATGGTGATGACTCAATATTAAATATAAAACCAAGGTGAATTTAAAAAGGGAATTTATGTTTTTAGAAACAATTCATTACCAAAATGTTTAAAATATTGATCAATATTTACCATCTAAGTACGTGACAAAGAATTTTCATGACAAAGTAATATACTGAGAAAGTAATCAACAACAAAAACATTTACAAAAAACAGAAAATTCCTAACACAACAACATGAAGTGGAGTAAATTTCATTTTACATATTTAAATATATCAACACTGCTTATCAGCAGATAAGCAGGTAATGTTTATTAATCAGATTAAAATAGAAAAGAAAGTGTTGCCTAACTGAAATATGAAATCAGATGAGCAGGCCTATATAAGAAATTTAACTGAATTAGGCAAAGATCCCTTTCCTGCTCATGTAAATTTGTCATTTATATTTATTTAAATGATGAAATTTATGTTGCAGTTATGGGACTTTGAGAACTGGGAACTGAGCAGTTCTTTTGCCTCTGACTAGTCAGGTGATTATGTGAGGAAAATATTTTAATTAACTTGAAAGAATCAATAGAACTAATTGCCTGTTGTAGATAATATCATAGAATTTGCCTGTTTCAACCAAGAGAACTATGAAAAATCTCAGGGTATCATTTTCTGAACTTGGAGTCAAACAAAGTAAGTCATCAAGTTGAAGCAGTATCCAGTTTATTATTATGTTACTTTACATCACAGTTAAAAAGAATATAAAAATCACTGAAAGATGTGTGTATGTATTGGCTTGTCTATATGTTGTGAGATGTTTCATTTTCATGAAAATACATTTGAAGAGAAACTACACAAACAACCATAATTTCAGCAGAGAATAAATTAGGACAAAAAATAACAGTAAATTTGTACCTGTGTTTAAGCACATGCCATGAATATACATGGGAGTATATCAGAGCATGAGATTGGGGTGGGTGGTTTCATTCATGTCCCAATTGAGTTGACCCTTGTGAAAGAGACCTCAGTATATATTCAATAGGAGGCTGAGTGTGTCACAGAGCTGGCCTGGGTACTGCAGAAGAGACGAATCTTTTGTTCTTGCTGAGAACTGAATCCTGACTTTCTGGGCATCCAGCCTGTAGCTCGTTGCTATACTGACTGATCTCACAATTAAATATACCAGTAAGAAAATTACGAAGTCCTACACTGATTGAATATACCATAAATTTAACAAACCCATCTGCACCCACTACCCTGCAGGCAGTCCAGCCAGGAAAAATGCCAACCTTTCATCCCATGCTGCATTATGCTCATAATATGTACTGATATTCCTCATAAACTAATTACGAAACAGTAAGGCCACTGAGTGCCCCACATCACAAGAAGCCTAGACAAGCTATGAAACAATATTGCTTCACAACATTACACACAAGCAGAATTGGAAGTCACTTTAAGTATTCACTTGTGTTTTGTGTACCAGAACATCTGCGGTGATAACGGCCAGGTATATGAGAGTGCATCGGTGTGCTTGTGGGTGTGAATGGGTTAAACTTTCCAATTATGTCATTCAGTTTTCAGGAATTTTTATACTTCCATTTCACAGAATGTTCACGTAATGAATTAATTCATTATGCAAGTAATATTCAGAAATATGAGTATATTCATCATATAAAATCTAAACTTCACTCAGTTCCCAAGCTCTGGTCCAATTATGAGATCACATGATTTGTTAAAATGCAAGCTTCTCTTGAAAAAATGTCAGATAAAATTTCTCTGCATACACAACGTAAACGAAAGATTGCATTACAGTTCATAACATCACACTGCAAAACTCAGCATTCTCAATAGTTTTTACTCACATTCACCTCAGAATAAATGATGTCGATGAAACTGCCAAGGACGATGACAAAATCAAACACGTTCCATGCATCCCCAAAATAATTCTGCAAAGAAAATTTACTCAGAGTAATGCACTAATATGAAATGAAAGTAAAAAACAATAATGTCCCTCATCTATGACTAAGCTGTTTAAAGAATAACTTTCTATATGCATTTGACATGTACATTTAAACATGATAGTTGAAAATATAGCTTTCCCATTCATGCAAAAAATGTAGAGCATGTCTAAGATAATACATCTGTAAACCTTTCAAGTCTATCGACAGTGTGAAGAATGAAGAACCAAAATTATGTTAACTGGAAAAATGTGTTGATGAAACCAGACATAGAGTGACATTTTCTGTTTTGTGGGGGGGGGGTAACTGATTTTGACCCTGAAAAGTTAATCCCTTAAATGTAGAAACAAAAATTTTATAGGATTTAGCTAACATTATGCAACTTGAAAACCAAGGGAAATGCTTATAATTATAAGCCTTATGTTGTGATTTGAATCTAGACTTAAGACTGCACTGAACACACAAATCATAACATCAACCATGACATATTGAAAAGTTTAGAAAATATATTAGTTCTAACATGTGTACTATAGAACCACCTTCAAGTGTCAGTAATTCAAACAATGCTACAATGATACAACGCTTCTGTTGCTGTTTCTTAGTGACTGCTAGTCATTCCACTTTTGCATAAAATTTCAAAAGCAAAATCTGAAATTATCAATTTATACGACAACTGCCTGAACCAAAATACTGTTATGGTGAGGTAAATCACTCCGAACTGGTGAAAGAGTTTACAGCATTCAAAAAATGCTGCAGAATTAATTCCTTCTGAAAGAATATAAATTACTTATCTACATATTAAAGTATCTAACTGAAAGAAAAAACCTATCTTAAGTCAGACTTCATTTTTCATACAAAAGCTCTTATACTATCTAGATATCTTGGGGTAACATGGCACTTCACATCTATAAATGAAATAGGATTAATTTGGTTTGTTCCCCAAAGTTGTTACTTTGTGTCACCTGGTTTACATTCTGACAATCTCTAATAATTCTGGGATATCATACTGAATGCTTTACTAATTTCATCTACTAAACAACTTCATGCCATCTAATATTATGCAGAATAATTACAGCAAGAAATTAATTTCTCCTATCCTCCATTACTGCTTTACAAATTCTTTACAAAATAAACACAATGGTTGTTTTGGAGCATATGAAGTCATTTATAATGACATGGGTATTTTAAATTAACAATCTAATTAACAATGGGTATTTTAATTGCTTACCTTAAACCTAAAAGCAGCCAACTTGAATACAAATTCCATAGCAAACACAGCTGTGAAGATGATATTGAGGACATCAAGGAACTTTTCATAAGCTGGTGGTTGGTTATGAAATTTCATTGCTAATGTGATGGTATTTAACATGATTAAAATGAAGATAGTATATTCAAAAGGCTGTGATGTTACAAACCACCACACTTTATACTGGATACGGTGTTTTGGAATGTATCGGCGAACGGGTTTTGCTTTCAAAGCAAACTCTATGCAATTTCTCTGAAACAAAACATATCATTATAGAAAATATTTTAGGCATAGCATGTAGAGCAACTGGCATACACATGGATGTAAAAGTGTTCACTTTCTCATTCATACTGCATGTAAAGCACTGACTTAGGGTTTGGGTGTATTCTGAACTCAGGGGGATGATAGTGGTACTACCATATGGACATGAAGAAAATAAAAATAGAGTTTCTACATGAAATCACCTGCAAATGCTGTATAGGGGCTCTATATTGGGGCCATTATTGTTCCTTATTTACATAAATGATTTCCCATTATCTGTTAAGAAAATAGGTAATCCAATATTATTTGCTGATGATACAAGTATTATCATATCAAACACGAATGCTGAAGAATTTAAAAATAATATCAAATTAGTTCTGAACGAAACAATTATGTGCTTTAATAGTAACTTTCTAACATTAAATTGTGATAAATCACACTTTATACAATTCTTTCTAAAAAAGCACGGGGAAATAGAATTGCAAATAATATCTAATAATTCAGTTATTACAAATATCAATTCTACTGAATTCTTGGGAATAAATGTTGATAGTACCTTATCTTGGAAGAACCATATTACGGGTTTATCATTAAGGTTAAATAAGGCTTGTTATGCAATAAGGGCAATAAAGCCGTTTATGTCACTTGAATCAATGAGGATGATCTATTATTCCTATGTACATTCTTTATTGTTGTATGGTATTATCTTTTGGGGTAATGCCCCTCATTATGAGAGTATCTTCAAAATTAAAAAAAGAATAATAAGAGTTATATCTGGTTCGGGTAGACTGGATTCATGCCGCGGATTGTTTAAAAATTACAAATATTGCCACTTCAGTCTTAGTACATTTTCTCCTTACTTCTTTTTGTTGTTAAGAACAGAAACTATTTTATAGCTAATATTGATATTCATGATATCAACATACGTTATAATCACAATTTATATTTACCTTCTACAAATCTATCAATAGTTCAAAAAGGAGTGCTTTTCTTGGGTAGCAAGATTTATAACCACTTACCCTCAAACATTAAATTGCTATCTAAAGATATTAAAGAATTCAAGTTTTTAATAAAAAGCTATCTCACTGAACATGCTTTTTATAGTATTGATGAATATTATAAATCAACTTCTCAATGAACACTTTGTCTTAATTGTCTCTCCTATGGATAATATAATTATACAGCTTATGTATCCACTACAACTGTATCAGTGTTTGTATTATTGTATATGACTGCATTAATTTATAGTGGTCTTAGTGTTTTCATTTATCCTTGTATGGGTTAGAAATGTATATTTTATTATCTTATGTTCAAACTTTGTTATGAATGTATGTGTATATTTTATTATTTTATGTTTAAACATGACAGATTCTATATCCAATAGGTTGGTTTGACCTTATATGGATTGACAGAATGCAATAAATAAATAAAATGAATGAAATAGCATGGATATTTAAAAAAATGTGGTTAAATATTTATTAAATATTAAATTCAGTACTTCTGCACATCTGACAATCAGTCATAGCTTGAATCAAAAGGGATTTAGCGTACACAAGTATTTAGGAGGTACTCTGTTTGAATCTTGGCAAGATCAGCTCAGGAGTTTAGTAGATTACTCTCAGCTCCTTCAGGAAATGCAAAGTTATTATCTTCTTTGGGCCACAACTGCTTCCTTCCAATTTTTTTCCAATTCAATGGTCATCCTACCAGTTGACACTACATAGCCTCAATACTGAAAGCATCATTATATATCCCCTGTAAAGGTATTTAATATTGTACAGTCAATTATGCCTCTACTGCAGACCAATCTATACTAACATGGGATATCAGTCATAGAATATATAAGTATATTAAAATACTAACACAGGCTAGATACTCAGTTTAAAAGAAAGAAGTACCTGGTTCTTATCAAGTTCACAATTCTTGTACTCTTGTTCACCTTCATTTTGGAAAGTAACAATAACAAAACCTACAAAAATGTTAACCATGAAGAAAGCAATGATGATGATATAAATTATGTAGTAAGCAGCAACAATGGGACGAGAATTGTGGATGGGTCCTTCATCTTCTTCATGTGAATCAATTGAAACGTACAAAAGCCTAAAAGAAGGAGAAATACAAGCAATTAAGGCCCAATGCTCAACTGTAGAACACCACAGAAAAAAATTACATGATTTATTAACAAAGTTAACTCACCCAGGCCAACCTTCAAATGTTGATACAGTAAATAAAGTTAGCATAGCTTTGGCAACATCATCAAAATGTAAACGGTTCCTCGTCCATTTACGTTCATCAACTTGTGGTTGGTTGATATCCCCATCATCAAATATAAGATATGTGCCACTGGAAGATATTAATATACAGTATCTCACTACCTGCTTGTTCACAATTGCATGAATAAGTCAAACAACAGAAAACCAAACACTTTCAACAATGGTTATAAGGCAGAAAACTTGAATAAATCTATTTCATTCTTCTTGTTCTGATCACCAAAACTGCAAAAAATGTTTAAGAAAATCACCTAAACTGAAAAATTAAGTACACAGCCTAATGTACTGTGTTTTTACTTTATGTCCTTATTGTGGTCTTTATGAATGTACGTATATATCATTATTTTATGTTTATATTATATTTGTATCTTGACAGGTTCTATATCCCATAGGTTGGTTTGACCTTGTATGGATTAACAGAATGCAAATAAATGAATGAATGAATGAATGAATGAATGAATGTAGAACAACCTTCAAGCATTTTCCATACACACAGGCCTTTAAACAAATGTTGAACATTTTAAATAGTTTCAATTTACAAATCCTTCACACCTTATAAAGACTTCTTTGAAGATGTGATATAAGATTTATAACCACTTACCATTAAATATTAAAATGCTATCTAAAGATATTAAGCATTTCAAATCTTCATTAAAAACCTACCTTACAGAACATGCATTCTATAGTACTGATGAATATTACCAATTAACTTCCTAATGAATATGGTTCTTTTTATATTTCTTGCCCTTTGTACATTTTGATTAGTTGTGGGAGGTCTTCCCATTTAAGTTCAATTCATTCATGTTTCATTGTCTTCACTATTATCTTGTGTATTTGTTCAAACTGTGTTTTGTGACACTGTTGTGCAATACTGTGTTTTGCTTTGTGTCCTTATTGTGCTCATTATGAATGTATGTATATATCATTATTTTATGTTTATATTATATTTGTATCTTGACAGGTTCTATGTCCCATAGGTTGGGTTGACCTTGTATGGATTAACAGAACGCAAATAAATAAATGAATGAATGAAAATAAATGAAATGAATAACCTTGTGGTAAGCAATTGAGTAGCCATGATGTACGTTTTACTTTGTTTGGGTATGCCACTTTGAGTATTAATAGAAAATTTCTCATTTAAAGAAAAGGTAGCCAAAATATCTGTCAGTAAATTGGAAAGCTAAAGGCTTCATGGCTAGTGTTTTGAGTTCAGAAAGTGTGAATGACATCAGAGCCCAACCAGCATTCCATCATATGAGTATTCAGGAGTAATTCCCTGAGAATACAGCAGATAAAACATGAAGTTTACAGTTCACATGATTCAAATGCTAACTCTAAGGATCTGTAGATCTTACCTCCCTGTTGCCATGTACCTTAGTGGCACAGGTTTTAACTNATTTTAATTATTTTAATATGAAGACAAGGCATGCAGTGAACTAGTTTAATGTTAATCGAATAAGCACCTGAAGATGGCACTTTTGTGCCGAAACATGTAGTGCGAGAGAAAGGAGTGAGGTAGATAAGTGTATGCACTAAAAGACGGTGAAATAAATCATGGACTTAAATGTACAGCACTGGGGACAGAATAACAATTTGGTAATAAAAGATCTCAACCAAACACAAAAGTTTCTTTGGCAAGACAATGTAACACCCATTCTCAATGTAGCTGTAAGACTTAATCATTTACCATTGAACATAAGAAAATTATCAACTGATGTTAAGAAATTTAGATTAGTCACTAAAAGTTTCCTTTTAAGGGAATCTTTCTATTCAATAGACGAATACCTGGAATGGTCTATAAATCTGTAGTTAAGGTTTATTCTGAATGAAATTCATATTGGTGTAATTGTGATAACATGTACTTATTGGGCATATTTTGTATCTGTACATCATTGTTGTGACTCGAAAATTGTTCATTTGATGTATGTATGTTGACAAAGTTGTGAGTTACAGCTGCTTTTATCATAATATTTTATCTATTTGTTATATTTTACTTTTCATTTTACTTATTTTAGTATATATATAAATGGACTGCTTCTATATCTGTGGTGACTGTCTTGCCTGTGTGGATTGCTTGAGGTAATAATAAATAAAATCAAATCAAACTTGCTGAGACACGTACTGTTATCAACCATTCCCTCACCATAATTCTTCTATACATAGCTTCATTCCTTAATATCCCTCCCAACCCCAAATTCTAACAGTAAGCAAAACAAATCTGTGATAGAATATTTTGAGAAGACTGAGAATTAGATCGTAATGTTGCAACTCACCGACATTCTGCTTCTGTCATCTTCGAACCATCTGAACACTTGAAGAATTTTCCCTGAAAAATTATGCAATACAAACTGAAACATCATACTAAATCACCAAAGCTCTATAATGTACTCTAATCCAGAGAGATCATGATTTTCAGTCAAATCATCTACAATTAGTGTATCAGATTTATGGCATTTAAGGATTCTGTGGCTGAAAGTACATTACACTTAGCACCACTTAATTGACTGAAATATTTCTATTTGCAACACATTAATGTGGAGCATGATCGTCTTAACACAGTGAAAATCTGAACATCACCAGGATAAAACCTGCACTACACAATAATAATAAGTGACAGTTTTCAGAATTATGTTGTATAATAATGTTTACTGTCTTATTTATGTGAAATAAAATCACATGAAGTGAGCTCACAATACAAGGAAATCATAATTAAAGTTGAAGTGGAAACAAAAGTCTTAATCTAAAAAGAGTTGTAAAATATAAAATAATCCTGATGTTTCTGTATATTAATCAGACTATGTCAGAAGTGAAAGTGCAGATGGGGAAAAAATATCTACTGTTCAAGTGTGACTCACATCTAACTACTTTACTCATATACAAAGCGGACAGCCAATGTCTTATTTAACTCTAATACAGGAAAACTAGACATCTAGGGCAGCTTTCTTATTTCAGAAGCCGGAGCCAACTATCAGGCTAACATAACATTTCTGCATGCTGTAATTGTCACACCTTTTCATCATGTCTTTCTGCCCTGCATGGTCATGGGTTTCCACTGTAGAAGTTAAAGTTTGGTACACAGTAATTAACTACATACATGTAAATTGGCAAAATGCTGAGATGGTGGTGCTATTTTCTATGTCCTGATGCTCTTCTACATTTCCTGCATCCAATTACTAAATCATTAATGGACCGCATGCAAAGGAAACCAAATCAGTCACAGAGACTTAAAATTGTTTTTTGTTTCCCAGTTTGTAGTTTGTGGAATATGTATACAACAATATCCATATGCAATTGTGACAATTCATACTGAAATACATCAGTTCTATGAACTATCAGCAAACAGAAAATGAATTCTGATACATGCTAGGGTAGGGGTCGAAGATTTTAGCAGAAGAGCCACAGCGACAAAGAGAGCTGAACAGGTGAAATGAACAGACTAAGTATACAAATATAAGAACAGATACATAAATGGATAACTCTAATGCAAAAACAGGACAGAAACATTTATCAAGACACTGAAGTTGTCTCATTATCACAATTCACACAAAGAAGAAAAATGTAAATTACAGTTTACTTAAAACGATTTCTAGGACCTTCATTTCAATTAAAAAGATGGACATTATTTTATATATGTATTATACCTTAATGAAAGCAATGGTCACTAGTTTGTGTATGCAAGTATGCATCTTACATACACTAACTAATTTGCTATTCATAATAAAAAATGAGTTGTGCTTTGTAGCAGTGATGATGATTTCAATATGGCAAAATTAAGATATACATTACTAGCCATGGAAGTGTAATATACACATTTTTTTATATATTATAACACAATAATATGTAGTTGCAAGCTGTACTGAATATGACCAACCTACTTGTACTTCAAGCCTAATTTTAAATTAAATACACTTTCTTCTTATGTGCGCAATAGTTTTCCTACTTCTGGAATTCAATCTAATGCCAACATTTTTATCTTTTATGAAACATCTGATATTCCACAATCATCAATTCCCTTATAAATGTTGCTGAAACTTGCAATAATTCACATTAATGTGGTCAAAATTTATATGACGTTACAGTGTAATCGCATTACTGTAGGAATATTTTTATACTAACAAATCTACTGCACAAAAAATATTACTTGCAGTAGATATGCCAGTGGATACTTTATGGTTAAATACGACAGTAATACATAATCCACACACAAAAAAAAAGTAATATTCTGTGATAAAATTTATGGACAATTCATTTTAATATCAGTACTGTTCACCATTGACAAACATATCAGTTAAATGCAATATTAAAATTTATTCAGACCCATGCAGCACAGTTTGTGCTGCTGGCAGTCTTTCTGTGAGCCACACTGTCAATAACAGTAGCACATGAATCAATTCTTATACAACTGAAAGTATGTGAACACATTCATATGGTCAATGAAGTTAATTCTCCAAGCCTAAAATATATGCCTTTTTTATGTATATTTGACATTTATTTTTAAAACATAGGACATTAACATAATCTACTGAGTTATTGTATATCATGCTGACAATGTGAAACTTCTAACTGTAATATTTTTCAATTGTTAACTTCCTTTGTTTTTTCTATTTCTTAACCTCCTACTTCAGACACATTTATAATTTCAACACAGATACTAATCACTTGTGTCCTTTGTCAGGGGTACTCTTTCAAATAGTTATTTCCCATAACACATCTCTGATAATGACCTAACATTATAAAGGATCTTTCCAACTAAAGTATTCTTAGTCATTTAAAATGGTTTAATTCCATCACTCCTTTGTTGAATTTAATTGAATTTTTATAAAATGTATTTTGCAACATTCCATTATATCATGAAAAACTGTTTTAGGTCTGATCAGACAAACATGCTGTGTAATCTTGATTTAATAGAGAAGGGCAAAGTTTATCACAGGGGTGTCTCAAAATTTTCACCACGGTGGGAAGCCAGCGACTAACCACGTGAGCTATGGCGTGGCCTATGACGAAATTATATGATAATTATAGAAGACGAGAAGGCAGAGCTCTGTAAACTGTAAGGGACCGTGGAGTCTTCAAAATGGCATATGCAAGATGATGTAGAACTTCCTAAGATTGCAAATACCAAGCAATGTACTATTAAACATAAAATTAAATTAAACCTGCAGCCTGTAATATCCCATGCCATTTCTTCCCTCTTATAATTTTATCTGTTTTTTGACTGCATAGGTTATTATTGCCGATCTGTTTTACATAGACATATATTTTGGTATTCATATTTTTTTTTGTCTGATCCCCTAAACTGAAATTTAACGTTTGTAAGTTAAATACCTAATTAAAATTACAAACATTTTCCATCTTATAGTGAAGGGTAGATGTGCCAAAAAAACAAAAAGGTGTTCACATATTCTGGAATAGAAATGAAATAAGAAACTGTTCCCCCATGTTCTCAAAATTTTCCCCATGACACTTGAGTCAATGTCACCCTGGTTGTTAGGACTGCTGCTGCATATGTGAGCATGGTGTATTTAGGAGCAGAATGTGTGTTCACTCTCAAACATTTTCCAGCCGAAATCGTTTTCTGCTGTCATCGAAGCATTTAGCAATGCAAAGAAGTACCAAACGACACAAAGATACACTGACTAGTAACAAGATTTTAGAAAACAAGAAGCATTTATAAGATTTAAAAATTTGTAACATGGTATATTAATACAATTATTGAGTATCTGGACAGTGTCCAAAGTCCTATTTTTATTTAAAAATACCGGACTCTTTCTGTCTTCAGGCAAAGTCCTACTTCATGTGGCCCAATCAATAGAGCCAGTCCCTACCTCCGCAGATAGGGTCTAGTTCTATCAACTGGGCCTAATAAGTAGGATTTTATGAAAGGCTGGAGACAGAGTCCAGTATCTGAAACGTTGTTTCTAAATTAAAAGAGGGCGATGGATAATATACTTGAACAAAATCAGTCTAGGAAGTGTTTATGATAGGCAATGTGGCCAGCATCAGGATCTTCTGACACAGGGCCATCTCTGAAAGAACTGAAGGAGACTGCTAGTTTCAGCATGCTGGGACAACGGCCCACATAGCAAACACAAATGCTTTACTGCAAGAGAAGATCAGCAATGCTTAGCATGGCCTTTGGCCACCACAATCTCCAGACTTCACACCACCTGAATTTTCTTGGTGAGGGCATCTTAAAGACAGAACCTATCTGAATAACAGAGGGAGCCTTGAGGAACTGAATAACAGTACTGAACAAGCTGCTGACAGCAATCATCCACAATCACTTTGCAGTGTTGCAGAATACTCAATAAAATGAGTGGATACTTTTCTTCAAGAAGTTGGTGGACATATCCAGTATCTGCTGGAAAGTTGTTACACAGGCTTCAGCAAATAAACAATACAAACTGATAAATAACTCACTACCTTGTCATATCCATGTCACCTGTAAACTTGTATATACTGTTGTACTGTGGGTTTTATCTTACATGGTACACTCAGTATAACTAAATTTTACTTATAAAATAAAGTCAAAAACGTTTATCATTAGTTCTATAGTCATGGTGGTATCATGTATGATAAGAATTAACACCTTCTCAAGAAGCTAATAATCGCTCAGCTGGTTAAGAAATTCTCTGCCTTTTATGGAACCTAATGATTCATTACAGTGTTCACAAGATTCCAGCACTGATCCCTATTATGAGCTGGCGGAAACCAGGTTATACTCTATTTCTTTAAGGTCCATTTTAATATTTCCTTATGGCTATGTCTCCCAAGTAGTTACTTCCCTTCAAGTTTTCAAGCTAAAATCTTGTATAAATTTCTCTTATCTTCCAAGTGTGCTACATGCCTCATTAATTCTGTATTCCTTTGATCCAATAATCCTATTAGTATTTGGTGAAGAGTACAAGTTATGAACCACCCCATCATACAGTTTCCTTAAGCCTTCTATTAGTTAATCTATCACAGATCCTAATAATCTTCCAAGCACCCTGTTCTCAGACACACACAGTTCAATTATGTTGAGATAACATATGACTGTCTGCCTCCCAAGAAACTTGAGGGGCAAATTTCACCAAACTTCCATCTAAATCATTAAAGGCATTTAATTATTAGCAAATTATATGCATGACAACATTAAGATCATGCATTATTAAGAATATTTTAATGTTATGTTATCAGAAAAATGAAAGTATATATGATCTGGAAGTGATGTTCTACACATACTCTCTCACTCTCTCCCACCAGTCTTTGTCTCGTGGTTACTGAAGTTAAGAAGTCTTCAGTTCTATGTGGTATCATGTGTTCCATGCTGACATGAGGTAGAAA